GCGGGCAAGTTGGCGACGTAGAACGTGGGCAGACATTATGCAAATGTGTTACTTCGTGAGGTAGAGCCCTAACAGAATAACATTCTAATTCCTGAGGACTTGTTTAGGCGATTGCGAGCCGACTCTTTTTTTTTTTTTGATAGACAATTCAGTGAAGTTATTAAATATTTTTCATAATAAAAAATCATAAAAATTATACAAAAATATATATTTTCCAAAATAAGTGCTGTAGTATAACCATCAGGACAGCAGTGATGTGTGAACTGAATTTGGTGACAGTACAGTGTATTACAGTGACGTTATTAAATATTTTTCATAATAAAAAATCATAACAATTATATTAAAATATATATTTTCCAAAATAAGTGCTATAGTATAACCGCAATATTTCAATTAAAAACAGCGTGACATTCTAACGTTTAATGTGAAAAACACTTGAAGTGCCTTTAAAACAGTGATATTAAAAGATCAAAAACTTTTTACTGATGCGTATTTTATACAGGCAAGCAGATGAGCTCGAAATATGAACACAGCACACTAAATGGTTAAGTGTTTTCTTTATAACGGTTTGCTGTGGGAAAATATTAAATGTGAAACTTTGCGCATTGCGTTTATATTCTGGGTTCATCTGCTTGCCTGTGCAGAGTATGCATCGTCAATAATGTGGATACTGAATTTGGTATTTAAATATCACTGACTTACTAATTACTACTTAGTGCAAACCTCGTAAAAATAACTGGCGGTCAGCTGAGAAATGCCCTGTTTTGCCCTCCATGTGGGTGTTTCTATAAGGGTGTGATGTCACGTGAAAACTTTGAATACCATGACTGAGGTGAGACCCATGAGCAAGGCACCGATCCCCAAACTGCTCTCTGCTCTCTTGTATTGCAATGTATAAGCTAGGACACTTTACACAAAATTACATTTAACTTTCTTCTTTTACAAGACAATTGCTGTGTCTCATTTTGAAGACTGCACCCTCCCGAGTTCACGTTTGTCAACCGCATACATCATTGCAGCTGCCTCATTTCAGAAAAGTGACCATTACATTCCAAAGTAAGAAGGAAATTACAATAATTTACACGTCATGAGGAATAACAGTAAATTTGATCATAATTTTCTGAAATAAGACATCTTCAGTGCCAGTTTTGCCAGTGCCACTGACTGAACCATCCGATGAGACAAAATTTGAACTGAATTAAGCTGGATGACGGCACTATTGTCTTCTGTAGAGCTGCTTTACAGCTGAATTGCATCTTGCGACATTGACACTGGTGTTGAACTGAATAGAATCAGCATTGAACTGACTCAAGCTGAATGACAACATTTCTGCCTTTTGTTGAATTGAATTCGCTTCAGATTGATGAACTTCACACTGTTCTTGATCTGAACTGAACCAACACTGCACTGACTTGAGCTAAATGATGACACTATTGTCTTTTAAAGCAGCCTTACAGCAGAATCTGTCTCCATAGTTTGTCTCCATAGTTGATTTTAAAAAATGGATCTGTTTATCTTTGTAAAGCTGCTTTGACAGTATTATATAAAGCACTATAGAAATAAAGGTGACTTGACTTGTCTTGACACGACCTATGTGGCCAACAGATACATCATCTGGAGGGCGCGGCCTTCAAAATAATATCTTTAAGCAGTACATAAGTTCCAGATCTCTGTCACTTGCTCTGTAGATAGGAGGCGCTACCTCCCCACGTCCCCTCTAAGAGATTATGGGACTGCAGGCACAGGTAACAGAAGACGGTCTAGATCTGTCGCTGTGCGTTTCAGAGACTTCGCTCAAGCTGAAGAGCAGGTATGACTGTGTTTCTGAGCCCCAGATTTGTTTAAATTGCAGGATAGGGTTTGTGTTGCGCTGGAGACCCAGCGAGATGGCATGTTATTCAACTCAAAATGGTTTAATACATTGTATAGTGCACCGTGCAGTCATGCATATTTTTTAATAATCCACTTAAATACTTCTTAAATGGAAGGTACTTTCTCATTTTATTTTTTATTTTTTTTAATTTCATATACTTTTTGATGGAATCAAACAAAAGATAAGATTATTCATAACAAATGTCTTAAGTGCAAAAAAAAAAAAAAAACAGATACCAAACCAGGTTCTTTTGGTCATGGAATTTTAGTATTGTGATTATAACCATGGCTTCTTGCTTTATGTCCAGCCCTAAAAATGTCATGGAAATTAAGATCTTAAAAACTTATGGAAATACGTATAGTAAATACTAGTTATCTAGTTCACTACAGTAATTATCATCTATATTGCTTATTTTGAGCGCAGTTTCTTTTGAAGCGTTTTATCTAGTAATCATGAATGTTAATGTCATGAAAAAGTTATGAAAGTTCATTAGTGAAAATATGTGGGGAACCTTCTGCACACTATATATAATTTTACTTAAAAGCAAAACAGTGATACATTATTTATATGTTGCACAGCATCACTTTGTTACATCAGGGACTCTAGCACTAGATATCTTCTAGCACAAGGATTCGTTCATTAATATAACATTTTAATAAAATGTATGTATTTAATATGCAGTAACTGTTATATAAAAGCAGTAAGACCGTCAAGGTTATGATGTAATAATTGTAGTCAAGACTAAATATCATAACTAAATTTACAATATAACATAGCCTACTGTAAATATACCTGCAGTATGAGCACACATCAGTTGAATTCTATATTCAATGTGGCAAGTTGCAGCTGCAGACAACTGTCATGAACATTTCAAAACTGAATCATTTCCACTGAAATTAAGGAATCACGGTTTGCAGAGTACACCATAATTCATTGCTTGGTGTTTGATATTTAAAAACACCCTGCTGATGTAAACGTTATAGCAGAAACTCTACTGGTTGCCACATTTCTGTGTTGCACAAAATGTACCCTCATACTGGCTTCAGTCACACAAAATCCATGCCATAATAATAGTGTCTGGGAGCCTGAGTGAATGTTGACCTATTTCTACAGTCCACAAATGGCTTCATCAGATACAATATTTTTTGACAGCTTGGCTACTTACTTATTGACATGTCTGCGTGATGACTTAATAATCACACATCACTTCTGCCTTTTTTTTTTTCTTGTGTGTGGATTTTATATGGATTACAGTTCATGCTGTGATTTCTAATTCAAAAGAGTTCTCATATGTGTACTCTATTAACTCCAATAAATGTTTAGTCTTCATTTTTACTCTGTGATTTGTACTTTAGGTTTAGTTTTTAGGTTTTCAGTATTTTTTCTAGTTTCATTTATTTTAGTTGTTTTATTATTTAGATATACAATTTTAGATATAAAATACTTAACTATAATTAATTCATAACTCATAGCTGCCAAATTGTGTTCAAATCATTAAATGAGATTAATTAAAATGTTTTCCTACATCTTTAGCTGGTTGTCTACTATCTTAAAATCTTTTAAAACAAAATATTAGTGGGATATATATATATATATATATATATATATGTGTGTGTAATTATATTTATGTTTTGTAAATGTTCTGCCCAATGATGATGCTAACAAAAAGTGCTATAATGCCCTACTGTTGCCTTGGTTACCTTATCAGGGTAAATTATTTCTAAATTTGCTAAGTAGCCCTGTAATAATGTGGGATGTTTAATCAAGGTGGGTTTTAAAGGTAATAAAAACTGAAATGCTCATTTGTTTCTATATTTGTTTCTGTACTCATGATTATC